CACCGGGCTTAAATAGTTATATTTATAACTATCTAGAAATATTAACTTTATCAATTTAAGAATAAAGAAATACTATAACTAATAATATAGGGAGGGACTAGACCTAAAGAGGGGGGAAAAGGTTTATCTCTTACGCTATAATATTAAAACCAAGCGACCTAGCGATAAATTAGACTACCTACAACTAGGACCGTTTAAAATTAAAGAAAAATTGGGACTAGTTAGCTACCGATTAAAGCTACCCTATAGTATAAAAAGACTCTATCTAGTATTTTATATCTCGTTACTTAAACCTATACCGGAAAACGCCGAACTCGCTATAAATATAGAAATTACGGAAGAAACCGAAAACGAATATAAGGTCGAGGAAATTCTAGAAACAAAACGGATAAGCGGAAGACCTTACTATCTAGTGAGATAGAAGGGGTACGATACCTCTAAGAATATATAGGAACCTATCGAGAACCTAAGGGGCTGCCCCTAGCTAGTTTAACAGTTCCACTAATATTAATAGCAGAGAAAGCCGGATCATCCTAGAAGGATATCGGAAGATTAGTAATCTCCGCTAATATCTAATTAAAATTCGGATGGTCGGTAGTAGTAGCGAGCTATTTAAAGTTAAGAGTAGAAAGGGAAGCCTACTCTAGAGACGTTTATTTTTTATTAAGAATTTGAAGAAGCTCGGTATTATACTCCGATATTTTAAAACCTTTTTGTTTAAGGAAGGCCATCTATTTACATAATCGACGCTAATGAGATATAGCTTCCTAGTATTATTTTTATTTATTTAACACCCTTTAATATAGTTCCGCAAAGTGCGCCTATAATTCACTTAACTCGGGTTCTAATAAATCGAGTTCGTTTTCATTTATTTTAAGGTCCGAAGAAAGTTTATCCTTAGTACGATATAATAAATCCTATTCCCGACTAGTATGGAAATCACGCTTATACGAATAACTAGTACGGGTACACGCCGTATATTTTAAATATTAGCGAGAACGATCTATTAGGTAGGCTATACCAGCTATTTTATAATGATTATAAGAAATAGCGGTGGTAAAACTATTATCCTTAATATAGTCTACTTAACGATAGTAAGCCTCGGAAGAATTAGACGGAAGTTTAGGGGTAAGCTCGGATATAGAGTTAGCCTTACGTTTAGGTATAACGAGCACGTATTATTTTAAGAAAGAGAAAATCTATTACCTACCTAAGGGGAACTATAGCTTTATAAGTCTCGGGGACGAAACTCCTAGGAGAGGGGGAGATAATATTACAGACCTACCTATCACTAATTAGTAGTGACCTACTAAACATATAGATAGGCCACTAGGAGCTAACGAACACTAGATTACGTAAGCAGATAACAAACGGCTAATACCAGCCTATCATTCGCCGTAACAAATAATACTATCATACACTATAAGACGATTAGCTAATATCACGTGATTATATACGTAGTAGATTAGTAAATAGTCGAACGGTAGAATCTACTAAAGAGATTCTACTATATTACTATCTACTTATCTATATAGGAAGAACTTAGGGATATATAAGGACACTCATTTATATATCTAGTTTAGTTCTTTATCTTCAGTCATATATTGTTACTTATATTTACCTTTTGGATTACTAGTGACTCTCTTATTTAATTATAACTTAATAACACTCACAGATAGACTAATACCTCGGTATAGATCTATTCGGCGCTCTACCTAGTACCGTTCCTCGATACCTTAAAAGGACCCAGTCTATAGTAAGGCCTGATAGGTAACAGTACGGTTGAGAGCACGGATCGTTGACGTTAGAAACCTAGACGGTATAAGGCAAGTATACCCGGAACCCTCCTAACCTAACTGTGACCAGTTTGCAGTGCGTAACAAGAAGCTTCTTAGGGGTTAATACCTAGCTATCTAACGAATCGATAGTAGAATAGAGTTTTACAAATTCTAGATATAGGTAGAGAATAAAGGTATGATTTTCGAGCTTATACCTACCTATATACTAGAACTAAACGGCGTTATAGAGCGTATAGGAGGTTATATTAACTAGACTTAGTATATAATAAATATAGATACTAAGCTTCTAGATATACTTTAGCTATCTTATATAGATATAGCGATCTATATTTATAATAGACTAATTAACCCTAAAACCGGTAAGACCCTAATCCTTATCTAATAAAAAGGCTTTAGTCTAAGAGAGATAAGAGTTAATTTAAAATACCTTTATATATAGGGGTCTATTATATTTGTCTATATTCTAAAAGAGACTTATATATAGTTAGAGAAATCGAGAGCTCGCGTATTCCGCGGCTACCTAATTAGATATAAAAGGGAAAACGGCTATATTTTTAAAGTATAGAACCTAGTTATAAAGGAGATTCTATATTTATAAGATATTACCTTTCCTAATAAGCTCGATAAGAATAAGGGATTAGATAATAACTAGAAGGGGGTATTTTATCGGCTAGTAAGCCGGTACTAAAAGGCCCTAATCTAGATAATAATAATACCGGAGCTCTCTATAAAGATATAGGTCTAATATAGAGGCTAGAGAAAGGTAAATTCCTATTTAAAAAGCCGAAGCTAGTACCCTAAGTTATAATCACTAGTAGACGGCTAGAACCTATAATTTAAAACCTAATAAAGCCTATAATTTAGTAGAGATAGGCGTTAGTAGGACTAAATACACTAGGAAGAGTATAGACTATACCTCCTATACTAAAGGTATTATCTAGGATTTAAAAGATTGAAGACGATACCCTAGTTTGTTAACCTATTTTCTAGAAACCTAAAATATAGGCTATTTAACGGCCTAGATAATAGGCTACCTAACGTCCTATATTATAGCCTTAGGCTTATAATATAATCCGTTAGTATATAAATTAGCTTAATATAGAAGCCCTAGTTCTTCTACTAGTACTACTATAGCTAAGAAAATAGGCTCTAAAGACTATAGTACTAGAGACAATTCTAGAGTCTCTAGTCACTATTCACTAGTCTATTAAACGAGACGATAATATTATCTCTTAGGAAACGTAGATTCGATAGCGTATTCTATTTTTATAGAGGGAAGCCTTACCCTAAGTACCCCTTCTAATTTATTAATTTTAGACTTATATATAGTAGGAGCTAATAAGAGCTTAGGAAGATAAGCACTAGGTATAGCGAGCTACTTATAATATAGAAGATCCTATACCTTAGGAAGTCTCTAATTCCCTATACTATTTACTAGGAGCTTTTAGAGAAGAGACTCTATAGATAGAGATTTCTTAAGTTATAAATCTAGTCGAAACTGAATAAGATACGATCCCGATCGAACCTAATTATTTAACGATTAATCACGATTAAATTGTAACCGAACCCGATCCGATAACGATAAATCGAGAACCGTCTATTATTATAATTAGTATAGACGATTCTATTACCGAGATAGGATCTATCGTACTAGAGTAGTTTATTCCCTACCGTTCGAGCCGAATTAGACACTTACCGGAGCGCTATAGCTTTCCTAATAACCCCCTCCGTCCCCCGAACCCTCCGAGACTATATTAACCGAAGCGAGTACATATAAGGCTAGACGTTCTATAAGGTAATACTAGTATAAGCGAGGGATTAGGATAAGGATAGGCGTAAGAAGAATAATAATAATATATATAGAGAGGGAGAATTATAGTCTTAAAGGTCGTTACTAAGTAGAGCACTCCTTTTATTTATAATAGTAGACTACTATATATTAAAGACGTTAAAATCCCTTAGTCTTATAAGTAGACTCTAAAGTCGAAATATATAGATAGATAGTAAGCCGCTATAGAGAGCTAGATCGATAACCTATATATAAAAGGAACTTTCGATATTATATACCACTTTCTATTCTACTATCACTAAGTAGAAAGTGGGATATAGATAACGAAGATCCGGAGACTCTTCTCTATAAAGATAAATATATATAATATAGATCTCTTATTAGTAGGCTTAACTAGCTAGCTATCGAGATAAGGCCGGATCTTAAATTCGCTATTATAAAGCTTTAATACTAAGTAGCTTTACCTATAATAAATAATATAGAAGCTATATATATAGTTTATAAATACCTAAAAGGGATAACCGAGCTCTATATTACTCTTAGAAAAGTCTCTAATATAACGTTCTTTATATATATAGACGCTTCGTACAGTAATTAGTATAATACTAAATCTATAGAAGGTATAATTTAGTTCTTTAGAGGAGCCCCGATATATTAGTACGCTAGAAAATAAACTATTATAACACTATTATCTATTATAGCCGAATAGTACGCGCTAGATAGACCTATACGAGATATATAGTGGTTTTCGAAGATAGCTACTACTCTTAATCTATAGAACGCCGGAGAACTAATCGTGATCTTAACCGACAATATTAACACCTAGTTACTAATAGGAAAGAAATCGTATAAGAATAGCACTTATTAGCTTAATATAAGGTAGTTTTTTATTAAAGATACAATTTTCTAAGGTAAAATCGATCTATAGAGAATCGATATAAAGAATAATATTACCGATAGATTTATAAAGCCGCTTGAGAAGGATTAATATAAGCGATTTATCTAGATACTAGGTCTTAATTGATCTATATATAAAATTTCTAGGCAGAAAGGAGGTTTTATAAAGCGTAGGAAAACGATAGAAAATAGCAAAAATAATAGGAGGTTTTTATATAGAGAGTCAAAAAGGTTGTATTATGGCAGTTAGTCCTGAAGGGGATGTTAGAGATCACGTGACCTATCATATGCTAGTCACGTGATCCCGTCTCACAGGACTTCCAGTAGTTAGTCAAGATAGCTTCCTCTCTCCTCTCTTTTCCTCCCCAGAGTCCAATACAGTTCCTCTATATCATCATCATTCCTGCGTAGCCTTCTATCTCGCTGACATAATATAACACCTTCTCCGGAGCAATAGAGAGTGGGTTATCAATACCCCTTCTCGTCTCTAATTTAGTAAGCTGTTTCTCTATAGAATGAGATATAGCGCACTATCTCTATATAGTAAGCTAGTGTGTCACCGAGTCGTGAGATCATATAAGCTATAGATATAGTATTAAATAGTGAAAATATACCGGTTATAGCGAGATCTAAGGTGTCACTAAGACGTGAGATTATCTTAATTAAATCCTCGCCAGACCCTATTACTCGAGACCTAGCTACGCCGGCTCCTCCACTACCACGACGTTCGAGACGTGCGAATATCGGAATTGTCCCTAATCGCTATCACGATCTATAGTAGAAGTATCTCGCCGTCGAATACGAGAAACGAGACCGCGATATTTAACGAACTGCTAAAAGAGTAAAAGCGAAGGAATCAGGCGGTAATAATATAACGGAGGGTAGAGGATAGGGGTCTATAGGACCTAGTGCTAGTATAATAGTAGCGATAGACATTATCGATATCAATAAGCCATTTCTTCACGATAGTAAGCCACTTTATATAAAGGATATTAATCTACCTTCTATATATAAATAGGCGTAGAAAAGCCCTTTCTAGCCTTAATAGGAAGATACTATATAAAAATAGCTTAATAATCTCGTAGTAAAAGGCATATAGAGCCTAATTCTTAAACCGCTAAAGGCTAAGATACTACTAGGTCAATAGAGATTTATAGTTAAAACTAATACTAGAGATAAAGTCTATAGATTTAAAGCTCGCTAGGTTATATATAGCAATTTCTAGGATAAGGGCGACGGAGAAATATACACCCCTATCGTTACTAAATATATAATCAAAATCGTATTTATATTAATCGCGATCTATAGTCTAAAGTGGAGATAGGTTGATTTTATAGCTATATATCTTAATATATTAAAGGAAGATACTAAGATAGTCTATATAAGACAGCCTGTTACCAGCCAGATCTTCAATCAAAAAGAGTGCATTTAACGAGAATACTAAGTACAAGAGGGAAAAGGAAAGAAGAAGAGAGAAAACATGCACGACAAGGCCTTTGTTTGTCCTTGTCCTGTCTCCTCGTGCAAACATGACAAACATGTACAAAGCGGAGTCATGTGACAGAAAACTCTGTAGGCGGTGAACAACGGCAGAAAGTCCAGTCCAGCAAAGTCCAGTCCAGCCTCGATCGTCACACAGCCTACCGGATTTAAATACTCCGATACTAAGGGTAATAAAAATCAATAGATATATACGCTAAATTAAGCTCTATTTAGACTAAGAGACTTAGCATACTTATAGAATAAGGAAATAGATAGTAAGCTTTATTAGATTAGCTTCTATCCGCTTAAGGATAACCCCTATATCTACGTAAAAGGTAAAGGTATAAATCTCACAATCATAATAATCTATATAGATGATTTTATTATCGTAGCCCCGTCGGATAACAATATTTAATAGGTTATCGATAAACTCTATTAATATTATAATATAAAGGATCTTAGTAAGCCGAAGTAGTATCTAAACTATACGCTCGATAGAGACTACGAGAATCGGATAATCACTATAATATAGATAGCCTATATATAGAAGGTGCTTTATACTACTAATATATCTAAATAGAAAGATATACCGCTACCCGCTATATAGAGAGAAATATAAGCTAATACTATAAATATACTAGATAACGATACTTTTAATTAGTATCAATCTATTATTAGGATACTAAACTAGCTCGCTATTAAGACTAGACTAGATATCCGCTTTACTATAATAAGACTATAGTATAGGCTAGCAAAGCCTACATTCTTAGATTTCGAAGTAATGCTATATATCGTGAAGTATCTACGCCGATGTCTAGATATCGGAATCGTACTCGGACACACCAATAAGCTCCGCTTCTATACACATATAGACGCTTTATATATAGACTAGGATAATAGTAAATCTACTAAGGGAAGCATCTAATATCTCGCTAGATCGCTAGTGATATGGTCTACTAAGAAACAGACGATCACTACTAATTCGATAACGGTTGCTAAATAGTATACGCTAGATCAACCCTACCGAGATACGATATAGTTAAACAAAGTTATATAGTCGTTTATACTACCCGAATATCGACCGATAGAGATTTATATAGATAATATCAACTCATAACTTCTTCTTTTAAAGAAGGGAGGTAAATCAGTAAATCGGTAGCTAATATTAAGATGGTTCTTCGTTAAAGACGCAGTTATATAGGGCTATATTAAGATCCTACGTGTTGATACGAAGAAAAATGCTACAGACGGGTTTACAAAAGCTCTAGGAAAAGACCAATTCGAAGCCTTTACTCGGCTAATTGGGATGATCTAAACATGCACTGACAAGATGAGTTTTCACTATATATGCCGGAATTAGAGACTTTGATAGAGGACGCTATGCAGGTTCTATGAGGGGGATGTTGGATGCCTTAGGCATCACCATGTAGATAGAACCACATAGTCTCTCTCCCTCTCTCTCTCTCTCCTTCTCCTCCCTGTCCACCCTGAATACATACGTTGTTTCTCATACTGATTCACCCTGTATCTGTATTCCATGAAAGGTCATTATGTGGTTATAAGCGGCCAGCGTGGATCGTATACGGGCACTTCCAACCATAAATTCTCGGACATAAGTCTTACCGACTTCCGACATGCGCTTGACTAGTTCAGCACATATTTCGACACGACAGTTCGTAAGACACCTAGCGGAGGTTCCGTGCTTACTATTAAAATCAGCCATCCCATAGAGAAAAGCCTACACAGTCGGGGAGCTTTTCACATCCGTGGATGTTTCTTGCAATTTTCCAAGTACTAGCGACGTATCTCCCATATCACAAGCTTTGGGCCTTCCTTTAAGGGTGTGCCAGCTTGAGCATCATAATCTAGAGCGAGCCACTGAGTCGATCGACGGAGCCACTAAGAAGAAGAGCTAGACGAACCGCTTCGCCCGAGTACTAATGACAGACATTGATCTAGAATCTGACAATTGGGGTATAACCCGACAGGGCTTAGATCTTGATAGGAGTGTCTTGCTTCTACGGGAGGATCGGGAGGACTTGAAACTTACGTGGGCGAAACGCCTAAGTTGTTACTGCCTTGATGTCCTGAAGCCTCTTTTTGAAAGGGCAATATCGGGAGAGATATCTTGTTAGGACGTCCTAGACGAGATAACATTCAAAAAATATATCGCCTAGAAACTGGCTAATGCTTCTATAGGCGTTACCGCTAAGCCAAGGCCGGCACGTGGATTTGTTAGGAAGATAGGGTCCACAATATGGGAGTATGAGAAGCAGCATTCTTATATACTTGATGTGGTGGATAAGATACTAAAACAAAGTCGAGGGCTTTGAGTGTTCATAAGTCTCCTATGTGGTCATGTTGAGATTTTATATTTTACACTAGACCTGGTTGCTTAGGGGTTGTGATTCGTAAATCCAAGAATTTTTCTTCACATCTGATTGGAATGCTTTTCGACTAGTTTCTACATCGTTCAGTAGAGAATGTAGCTATTGTATTAAGGTGGTGGAAGCTAGGAATATATGACCTATAGTAAAGAAAGCTTGGCCCTTCCTTCTCCCATCTTCCTACTCACACAACTGGAGAGATTTGTGGTTGGATAAGGCTGGTTTGCTCGTAGGGTCGAAGCTATTCCCAACTACGCTCGATAAGGAAGGGCTCAGGTCCGATAGTACTACCTAGGGACTACCACAATAGCCAGGCGTTGGGACGTAATCCCGAGTGGTGTTCCCATAGTTCGTGGCCCGTAAACTGCATTGCATCATCGAGGCGAAGTTGGTTCATCTCTCACAATAATCACGATCCTTGTAAAACACATTAGCTGGGAGAATCAAGTTAGGATTGAGGCTGGTAACGAATGAGAAGTGCACTAGATAGCAAAATGTATAGAGATAGACGAAAAACATATTTCCCTACCAGGTTTAGTTCCTCTATAAGGTAAGCACAGGCTATTGTACTCTGACTAGCGAGCGAAAACGGTGGTTTGCTGCATGTAGAAAGAATGGGTGGAAAGAGGTAAAACGTGGCTGACGGGAGAGGTGAAGCTAGCTGGATGATCGCCAGCCAGATCTATCAAACGATTCTAAGTGGTTCTATGTAATATACGGTAATATGACGATAACTCATTGCTAGCCATACAATCATTACGATAACAGTTTTGCCGGAATTAGGAGGCGGTGGCCTAACCCGGCCTAGCGCGCGTCGGAATCAATTTCTCCGAATCAAGAAGAAAGAGATCGGAGGTACAGTAATATTCGAAATCAGATTTACCTCACACTCTTTGACTTTAACTCCCGAACCCTAATTTGAAACACGCTAACTCAGATAGGATATGTCCGTCGATCCCCTTGTTCCTAGAATAGAAAGTGTATTTTACATGACGCGGGCGGGACCTTGTCCTTTGTAAATTACTGGAAATTGCTAAACATCTGATACCACTCTACCCCTCTTCTTCCCCCTAAGCAACAGGATTCTTCACCTGTAAATCACTCTTGAGCGACATCCTACAATAGGCTTGCAATATGGCCACGAGGCTTCTCCCCTCCAAACTGTATCTCATCCGATATGATAGAGAGCCAGTCACTAGCCACTACTCAAATAGCAGAAGAGGCTGAGTGCAGCAAGGTCACGATCATAAATATTCGCAGAAGCTTACGGCAGTTCGGCAGCGTCCACGCACCCCCAACTCGCAGAGGTCCAAACCAACCGTAACACTGCTAATGATCGACGCGCTCTGTGGCCACCTGTCGGAAAAACAGGTCGATGAGATAGCTGTCTTCCTCTGGGATGAGATTCGCACGATGATTAGAGCCCTGGTGGCGAAAGGTTTGGTCTAAAAAGACGACCCGGCAGCATGCAAAGGAGCGTAATGCCGATTTGCGAGAACTTTATCTCCATAATTCGTCGGATTTCTAGTCGTATCATCTAATTTATGTGGATGAATCGGGATGTGACAAGAGGGCTGGGTTTAGGGGCACAGGCTGGTCGCCATTTGGCGTGGCCCCTTTGCATGTATCGCAGTTCCATCGCGACCAGGGATGTCAGATACTACCTGTGTATGCCCAGGATGGGATCGTCGGATCGTCCTCTCACGTGTATTCCGCGTTGCAACTGATGGCACAGTATTCGAAGACTTTTAGCTCAGCTTCTTCAGCACTGTGGACGGTGGCCAGATCCTAAATCTGTTGTGGTTATGGACAATGCGCCTTTTCATCACTCAGAACGGATTTTGTAGATGTGTGAGGATGCGGGGGTGAAGCTAGTCTATTTACCCTATTCGCCGGACTTGAATCCGATCGAGGAGTTTTTTGCTGAGCTAAAGGCCTTTATTAAACCAGCTAATATAAGTTATTTATGAAACTTTGGTTATCTTTTCTTTTTATTTACAATTTTCCCAGTAAATACTACTTGATTTACAAAAAAGAAGTAACTGGAGTTACTTTGAAGCGGATCCTGATCAAGGCTTTGATGTCTTTCTCACAAGTTGTGTTGATGTTATCGGCTTAAGTGGAGAAAGTGCAAAAGGCCATTTTCGACATGCATGCTTAACGACCGAGGAAATCTAGGGAAGTTGCTAGGTATGACCTCAGTTCAGAAGCCTCCTAAGCACCCTCTAGATGTAATCACTAAAAGCTTCATAGACTCTTTACTCATTAAACCAAGGGAATCAAGAACTTGTCTCGTTGATGCTCTTGCAAATGGTTCGAAATGCACATAACTTTCCAATAGTTTGTCCCAGCCTCATTATCTCGTCTCTTTCAGATCAGGATTGTGCTAGCCAGCAAGGTATACTTCTTCCAGCCATTCCTGCGAATTCAGCGCGGTGCTTTCGTCATTTCAACCTACGCTCATAGTATCCTCACAAATCGCACGGCTCCATCACAGCAAGTATACTTTTGGCCGGCGGCTGTATCCAGGCCACAATGTTACCGCCGGTTATAATGAAGAATCTCTTTTTGCCGATAGCATACTGATGAAGATGAGAAAATAGCCGCGGTTGGGTCATATAATGAAATGGGTTCGTCTGGCTCCAAATTCGAGACTAGGGATGTGAAGTACCAGACAATTCTCCCCAGCTTCACCATTAGTCATGTGCATCTCATCCTTTTGGGGCAATATCTGCGAGCTCGATTTGAAGCAATGCAAGGCATGGGACGACATAGGATCAAAGATTAAGGCCTCTGATGTGGCCAATCCCGATAAGCCAGTATCTCAATGCAAACATTAAACTACTAAGAATGCTTTTCCCTCTTAGCCTTTCCTTCTGTTTCAAACCCTCCGAAGAGATAAAACGATCTCATGACGAACAAGAACAGGGGAACTGTAAGATTTCCCCAGTTCACCAAGCTCCAATCTCCAACATTGCGTAGCGTTGCCCAACCCATGCACCATGTTGTAACACCTAAGTGTCCCAGG